ATAATTCGTACGTACTAGGTAGTTTGGAACATTTCTCAGTCAGGCCGACGAAAGAAGTGGTCAGTTACGGCGTTTTTTTCTCGAATTCATCGCACTAAAAACGGTGCTAAAACGGCTTCGTACGTGTATTTATGTGCACTGTCGGACACTGTTAGCGCGAACGCGGCGTCGGCGATTTCCAGCATGGGGGATATACATGCCAAACGAACGAAGGACATCTGGAAAATCAAGAGCGGCGGCAAGAACTACGCAGCAACACCGGATCAGTAACTTGCAGTGCATGTACGATCAAAATAAATTGAAGGTCACGTAATCTATTCCGATTTTAAATAAGTGAGTACCGCTTTATTCTTTCTGTCCTGAGCGAAGCTGCGTGTTCTACGTTCAAAATATCACCCCCGCGCTAGACATCTTTGAGATTAAGTGCGCGATAAAAGCTGCCCGGCAGAGAAAACAATACGAAGAGACACCTTTCACATCCCACGGACTTTATTCTCTACGTTGAAGGTTTTTATCCGCTCATGCACGATGGGATCATTTTCATATGGTGACAGTACTGGCATATTATCAATATACAAGCGTCACCGGAATGCTGGCGAGCCTTGAACACACTGTTGGTTTCGATCGTAATTTTGCTTTGAATCGTCGCTTGTTTTTACACACCTGCTGCGGAACACACGTTTGGGACTGAAATGCAGCGAAGTTAAACATCGCTCACTGATGAAGAAAAATGCGCAAACTAATGCAATTACACTTTTACAATGTTAATTAAGACACGTACTATTCGGCACGACCGAAATAACCTAAGTGTTCCATGTTATTTTCCGGCGAAGAGACAAAATGCACGCGCGTTTTCCCATAGGAATGCACAGGAGCATCGCAAAAGTAGTCTGGTTGCTGTCTGCTTCAATTTGCGTCACGGAAGTCGCATAGACACTAGCGCCAGTTGAACCTCTAGCGTACATTATAATAACTCTATGGGAAAAGTCACTGTCATTGATAGCATCCTCGATCATCCGCACCGGTGCGCACCGGGGCACTGAGGTGCGCCCCTTCATCTTCGATCAAGTGCACCGGTGCGCACCGTACGTCCTCGATCAACGAAGCGCACCCTCCCGGTGCGGCTTTTCGTTGCCCCAACGTGCACCAAGAAAATCGGCGGTGCGCCGGGGGGCAGTCCCATCAGGCATTGCGGCCAGGAGCGGGAATCGAGAAGATGGCGGGAGTAGCAGACGCGCACACTATCGAGGTGGCGATCTTGCAAAAACGAACACGCCTTGCAGCTGCACTAGATGATTTCCTCGGGTCTTCTGACGGCGAGACGACGAGCTTCTCACCATCGCCGCGATTACTGGCGATTGCTGTGGTGGCAAGGAGCGCCCGAAAAGCACGAACTTTGTGGAAAGCGGCGCGAGGCGTTTTGATGACAGCGAGGTACGGCTATTATCTGGTGTTTCGTTTTCTTGAACTAATAATGATGGCCAACATATACATGTGGAATTGTCACCCGCTTCGTGACCCCATCGACAATCACGTCCACGATGTTTATTTCTGTGGAACCGTCAAATCCGCGAATAAAAAACTAAAAGAAATTGACAGCAGACGGGCACTGTGCGCTGACCTACGCAAAATAAACGAACAATACGCGAAGTGACGCAAGATGGAGCTCGCCGCGGTGCACCGGCGCGGCGCAGTTTGTCCTCGATGTTGCACCGACATCGCGCTGCACAAGGAGGTTAGAAGTACTAGGAGGGGGCACGTTGCAATATTGGTGAAGCCTAGTCATAAAAAGTTTAAACGATTTTGTGCCCAGCGTGACCGCAGATCTGTCTGGCGATTGGTGCGCGTGACATGTCACGTGTGAAATGGATGGTTGATTGTACAAGGACTCCTTGCAGGCTTGCGCGCGCTCCGTCCGGTAGGTTTTATTAGATCGAAGGCTACGCTGTGGTGTATCCTAGTACACCATAGCTAGACGAAGGCTAGCTACGGTCACGTGATGTGGTGAGAGTAAGGAGGAAAATGCGAAAGAGGCGAGGCGTCAAGGGAGCATGGCTTGTGGAGGCTACGCGGCTGACGTCATGCCCTCTCCTACCCTTCTATTCTCCATGGCGCTGCACGACCGAGGAGCGGTGTAGAGCACTATATAGCTCCTTCGGAGCAGAGTAGCGCAATCTAGAACGCCGCCTCTCGGCGACTAGCGGCGAACGCCCGGAGGTTCCAACTGCGGTCAGAAATGCATGGAGAACGTGAGAAAATCGTTGTTTCTCCAGTATTGTGGGAATATACGGAATGGCAATCGTTTTTGACATAATAATGGAACATTTTAGAATAATTTGCGCTAAGTTTTGTGACCCGCAAGAACCTGACTTTTTTTAAAAAATTGCTTGAGCGGCATCATGCAGCAGACGACACGGCGACGTCACACCATTCACGTGACCCGCTCCGGCCAACCCGAAAAGCCCATCTCCGCTGCGAGCAAAAATCGTCTGCTTCAAACGCCATTGCCTTGAAAATTGCCTTCTCAAAATTTGCACACGCATCCGATATTATTAAAACTTTGACAAAGTGTTTAGTGCTTTACTAACTTCACGACAGACTAGTTTTGAAAAGTGTGAACTCGCCGTTCATTTTTTAATCAGCCGTGTTGTATCGATCTCCATGTATTCTCCCATAGGGCGGGCCGCCTCTTGGAACCCTGAGTACCACGTGACTCGCGCCGAGCCGCTCTGTCGGCCATCTTGTCGGCAAAACACGAGGTTCAAAGGATTGCGCTACTCTGCTCCGTAGGAGCTATATAGTGCTCTAGGAGAATAGAAGGGTAGGAGAGGGCATGACGTCGGCCGCGTAGCCTCCACAAGCCATGCTCCCTTGACGCCTCGCCTCTTTCTCATTTTCCTCCTTACTCTCCTCACTTACCATGCCAACGTGACCACATCACGTGACCGTAGCTAGACTTCGTCTTGCTGTGGGGTACTAGAATACACCACAGTCTAGACTTCGACCTGATAAAACCTACCGGACGGAGCGCGCGCAAGCCTGCAAGGAGTCCTTCTACAATCAACCATCCATCTCACACGTGACATGTCACGCGCACCAATCGCCAGAGAGATCTGCGGTCACGCTGGGCACAAAATCGTTTAAACTTTTTATGACTAGGCTTCACCAATATTGCAACGTGCCCCCTCCTAGTACTTCTAACCTCCTTTGATACCACCGATACCGTCCCATAGAGTTATTACAATAAACGCTAGAGGCTCAGCTGGCGCTAGTGTCTACGGGACTTCCGGTTGCAAATTGAAGCAGACCAGAAGCAGACCAAGGAGGTTAGAAGTACTAGAAGGGGGCACGTTGCAGTATTGGTGAAGCCTAGTCATAAAAAGTTTAAACGATTTTGTGCCCAGCGTGACCACAGATCTCTCCGGCGATTGGTGCGCGTGACATGTCACGTGTGAGATGGATGGTTGATTGTAGAAGGACTCCTAGCAGGCTTGCGCGCGCTCCGTGCGGTAGGTTTTATCAGATCGAAGGCTAGACTGTGGTGTATTCTAGTAGCCTACAGTAAGACGAAGGCTAGCTACGGACACGTGATGTGGTCACGTTGGCATGGTGAGTGAGGAGAGTAAGGAGGGAAATGAAAAAGAGGCGAGGCGTCAAGGGAGCATGGCTTGTGGAGGCTACGCGGCCGACGGCATGCCCTCTCCTACCCTTCTATTCTCCATGAAGCAGACAGCATGCAGTCTACTTTTCCCACTGATCTCATAGCATCTTCGACCAACTCGCACCGGAATCACCCTGAAACCAGCACAGTGCACACCGCTCTAGAGCACTATATAGCTCCTACGGAGCAGAGTAGCGCAATCCTTTGAACCTCGTGTTTTGCCGACAAGATGGCCGACAGAGCGGCTCGGCGCGAGTCACGTGGTACTCAGGGTTCCAAGAGGCGGCCCGCCCTATGGGAGAATACATGGAGATCGATACAACACGGCTGATTAAAAAATGAACGGCGAGTTCACACTTTTCAAAACTAGTCTGTCGTGAAGTTAGTAAAGCACTAAACACTTTGTCAAAGTTTTAATAATATCGGATGCGTTTGCAAATTTTGAGAAGGCAATTTTCAAGGCAATGGCGTTTGAAGCAGACGATTTTTGCTCGCAGCGGAGATGGGCTTTTCGGGTTGGCCGGAGCGGGTCACGTGAATGGTGTGACGTCGCCGTGTCGTCTGCTGCATGATGCCGCTCAAGCAATTTTTTTAAAAAAAGTCAGGTTCTTGCGGGTCACAAAACTTAGCGCAAATTATTCTAAAATGTTCCATTATTATGTCAAAAACGATTGCCATTCCGTATATTCCCACAATACTGGAGAAACAACGATTTTCTCACGTTCTCCATGCATTTCTGACCGCAGTTGGAACCTCCGGGCGTTCGCCGCTAGTCGCCGAGAGGCGGCGTTCTAGATTGCGCTACTCTGCTCCGAAGGAGCTATATAGTGCTCTATATTCTCCATGGTATCGGTAGACAAGTGGGTAGACAGGTGGGGAAAGCCGCGCCGTGACCGGATTGTGTGCTCGTCTGCTTGCGGGTACCCCCGATTTGCGACAGATGGCGTTAAGGCGAGAGGAAAAAAATTGGAATCGAATTTGCATGGAACTTTATGGGAAAGTACGGAAAATAAAACGAGAGCACAACAGTCCTCCATTGAAAATCCACGAGAAACCATCTCCGTCAGTGTAGCCGGTCGCCACCGGTCGCCCACCCGGAGTGAGAGTTCGCGGTGCTTTACATAGATGACGCCACAGAAAAAGAGAAAACCGAGGGGGAGACAATCCGGTCGCTCATTTGGCTCTCATTTCCCCACCTGTCTATCTTACACCCTGCCCTATACATTGTTTTGTATGCATTTAACAACTTTTTTATCTTTTACAAATAACGATGCCTTTTGTTTTTTCCTTCAGCCAATTTTCGCCGTCTTCACCTTAGGCTTGGTCGTGGCTTGGCCGGCTTGGCCACATTGTGCTAACAAATATGGTGGCTGTCGTCGTTTTGCGGTTGTTGCACCGTGATCTCCGGCTCCCTAAATTTTTAACGCTGTTTCTCGTTGTATTCTGTGCCCATGCTAACTGCCTTCTAGAAGGTCGGTACCCGCCCTCATCATCTATCCACCACCTTAGCATACTTCGAGCTCGCGCTAAGCGGTTGACACGGTGGCTACGCTGGGACGTCGGTGTGATTTCTAATGTGTCGTCGTTTCCACTTGTCCGGGCTTACAGATCCGGACCTATCGGCTGATGCCGCCCACGCTCTGCAGCATTCGTCAAGTGCCGCTTTGCATCACCCGCTCTACCCAAACGATACTGTGCTTTCCAGACAGCCCCGGAGCAAGTCGGAGTTTGTGTTCAACTTTGGAGAAACAGCGCAGTAAGTAACCCACCCGCGTGCCGCTGACAGTTCGTGAATTCGATAAGGCCAACTTGTGACCCACGAAACAAAGGAAAATAAAAGCGCTCCTCTTGGATGTTTAACGCGTCGAGGTGCGTTGGGTATGGGCCAGAGCGCTGTCTTTTTGTGAGCATATCTACCTCTCATGCCGTGAAACACACAACTTGGCACGAGGCAAGGTACTTAGCAAAGCAGTGGCGCTCAGGGGCGGATTGTTGAGCACAATCAAAAGCAGGGCAGAAGACTTCCGCTTGAGTGTGGTGCGCTTCCTTATTACGAAAGAACACGCAGCCACCACGTAGATAACTCGTCCTACCTGTGCATAACCGCACTGAAGGTTTTGCAATATTTCCGAGATCAAATCTATGCACTATGCGTGAGAAATAGTCGCTTATAACATGGTCAGAATTAATTCGTGTCAGCAATAAAAAAATGCTGCGTAAAAAAAAAAATAAAAAAAAAAAAAATAAATAAGCAGATGGGAAGAGTTCCACATGCACCCGGTAGATGGCGCCAGTGCTTTCTCGCGAAGGAAACGCAGTGCACTCGATCACGTTGGAACGCAGATCTGTGAGCCAGCCTTTACAGTAGAAAGTGTTGTTCTCAACTTGCTTCCTCGCCGACTGCTTAATTGCAAGAGAGCTGCTGGCACGGCCGCTGCTGCGCGACGGCACTTCGGACGGATGCCTCGACGGTTTCCCCTGCCAGCAGCTGAGTGCTGAGTGCCTGGCGTGCCAGTTCAACTACTCATGCGTCTACGGAGAGGAGGTCACAGTCCTGTGCGAACCTCGAGCGGGAGTCAAGTGCGCCGTGAGTCTGGCCGCTCGTGAACTCAACATTCTGAAACGACGGGAAATCCCCGATACTAAGAGTAAAAAAAAGCCAAATGCTAAGCCTCTTTTGAGACTCAGTGTTTGTCCTGTCCCTTGTTTTACCTTCGGGGTTTTTAGTAATTAAGTGCAATTTATTCCAGCTCGTCGTGTGCACTTACTTTTTATTCAGGAAATCTCTTTCGGCAACAGACGTCAATCATATCCATGTTCAGATGGGCTGCACTTTTTGTTGTTTCCTCGTAAAAAATTGGTAGAAATTGTTTCTAATTTCTTAATCGGGTAACGCCGATACCTGGAACTTTGATGTCTTATCCGAACGAATGGAACAAGCTTTTGGCAATGTGTAGTTTGTTCTTGCAGCAAGAGAAGCGCAGTTCGCTGTTCTCAGCCGATACGCTGGCCTTAAGTTTGTGTTAGAGGAGGGGGCTTCTTAAACATTGATCTCGAGTCTGTCGCTTTTGCTGTTCACTTTTCTTCCAAGGAAGCAGCGTGTAGCAAGTCACCACTGTGCGTTCGTCCGCACATCTTTACAGAACAAGTCCCCGATGTTTGAACGCAAGATGGTGTGCCGCTACTGCTACCAGACGCCGAGCAGCGACCACGTTTGCGAGCACAACAGCACCTGCCAGGTGAACAGCGCACCGCGACAGCGCTACATTGCGCAGTGCACGGTCCGCCCAAACGTCCTCTGCCTCGGTGAGCTCTTCCGCAAACTACATTCTCAAACCGGGTTCTTAAGAACCCCGTGGTTCCCCAGAGTTGCCTCCCACACCTCCCAAACTTCCTCAATTGTCCCCATTCTTAGTAAAGTGTTTCTCTAGCTCTATTTTTTTGAGAAAATCGTCCAGTGTTGCATAACTCTCCTTATAGGTGCATTATTGTTTACAAGATTTCTATTTTTCTCTACTACTTATTGCAGCGATGCCAGGACAGGGTGGGTTCCTTGGCTGTCACAAAAGAGAGAGACGGGCACCGTGGGGTTCTCAAATTGAATTTCTAGGAACTCAGTTACTTGTGATCTTGACCTTGATTTCTTTACTATTGTTGCGGATGGAAAAGGCTCGACAAACATAAAAGTGAAACTAAAGGTTTAATAGACCCTTTGCAAAACGTACAGCGCCACGACGGCAGGGAATTTTGGGAACCCTTGGTACATATCATGTGCTTTCTCGTTGCCCCTCCGCGACTGCGCGCGCGTCCCGGCAGCTACCGCTAGCAGCCGTTGCAGCCATCCGCCTCCCGCCGCGTCGTACGTTGTTGGCAGCGTACCGTATCTGGCAGCGTAAAGGCATCGCGACAGGTGAACCTATTTTGAACTTATTTCAGTACGTTATTCGTCGTAACTTACCTTTACATATTGAAATGTCACTGAATCCATTTAGTTTGCACCGCAACCGTGGCAGGTTTCCGCCAGGTTTGACAAAGCGTTGATGCAGCAGACGACGGAGCCGGAACAAAGGAGAGAGATGAGAAAGGGCAGCCGCCGTTGGCTCGTCACTCGCTCAACTCGGCTGCTCAAAAGTCGTTGCCGTGGTAACCTGCACCTGCTCGCATATGCCACGTGGTCACGTGGTAGCGGGAGGAGGGGCGTACCAAGGACTCCCATTATTTGTCGCGCGGCGCACGCGGGCTTTTGGGATTTTTGCAAAGGGTCTATTGGCAAACTTGAAACAGAAACAAAACAAAGAACGAGCATTGAGAAAGTGGCCGCAAGTGTCCAAAGCGGCATCAGTGAGCATTGAGGTGTCAGCGTGGGAAACAGAGGCGTCCATATTTGTTAGCCCTCACTACGAACAAGTTCAACTGTACTCTTGAGCTCTGCATGATGTTGCCTTTATTGGACTTCAGAGAAGCTGTCGACCACCGATGTCTTGTTGTTTTGTTTCGTTTAGGAAGGAGGACGTTTCTCAAGAACAACTTGTGCAATTGGACCCGGGGCTATAGCTGGTGGACAGCACTTCTGCTCAGGTGATCTTGCCACTCTTCACTCAATAGGCCACTGGCTCGTATGTTTTGCGTCGTTGCAAAAAATGGTAACTTTGAGGTGACATAGCTCTCTCGCTTTGCGGTGTCATGACTTTTGTCTAATTTCGCATAGGTGTAGCAGATCAGGTGAGCAAGTATAAGCAAAGGGAACAGGTAGAGCGTGGTGTGCACCTTTCAGCTCGGAACATTATTTATTCACATGCGGGGTGTGATCAAAAAGTTCCAAGACTGATTTTGTATCGTAAAAAGAAGGCAGCACAGTGATGGGCGCGCAGCAGTCGACAGAAGGACCTTCGTGTGTCGTTATGCTGAAGGGCGTTTCTTTATGAACATTTTGAGCTGCGCTACGCGAGTTTCTGTAATCGCGTGCACGATCGCAATGGCGATTTACCGTAGACTGCAAACCAGAGCGAGAGCAAACAACAATTCTACGGCAAACTCGGCAAATATGAAACAGAGACCTTTAAAATGATTTGCCAGGCTTGTGTCAAAAAGCATTGAATTTCGCAAAGTGTTTTAAGTGGCACGGGCGTTTCAGGAACGGCAGAACATTGCTGGAACACGAAGAGCGGTAAGGCCACCTTATCAAACCTCTCCTTGACTTCAGGGACGTTCTGCCATTCTTGAGGCGCAAGTGCCACTCAGAACACCTCGCACACCTCACTGATTTTTCACCATAAGCCTTCTAAATCGCTTCAGAGGTCTCCGTTTTAGAATCGCAGAGTTTGACGCAGCATTGATGTTCGCTCTCGCTTTGGTTTGCAGTCTATGGAGAGATGGCCATTATGCTAGTGCATGTGGTCAAACAAGCTCGTGTAGCGCAGTTCCAAATGTTCACAGAGCGCCGCCTTTTGGGATAACGAGGCACGAAGGTTCCTTCTTTCGACTGCTGCGCGCGCGTCGCTGTGCTGCCCTTTTTTTTTATGCTACTGAATCAATCACGGGACTTTTTGATCACACCTTGTAACCTATTTTAACGTAAAATATAATGTTCAAGTGTTTTTTTTTTTTCTTAAGTGCTATTGTTAAAAGGCAATGAACCTGACACACAAAAAACGCACCAATCACAAAGAGTATGCAAATTTCTCCGAGGCAGTCTGGAGCACTGTACCCAAAAAGGCCAAGTTGATTTGCTAGACCATTTCCCATCATAACGACAGGTTGTCCCAAAGATTAGCTGACAACTCGATAAGTGTGTCATGAGGTCGTACAATGATGAACTCCCTCTCCCTCCTCCTAATCTTTTTTGGCTGAAAAACAAATTTCACGGAGTTACCTTTTTTTCTTTTTTTTACTCAGAACCTTTACTTTAGTAACGAAAGACCAGGTCCTTGCGGAACTTTACTAATTCCCCTTTTTATCCTTTGAATTAAGAGCACGGTGTAAGATACACTCTTTAGGTGAGGACACGGCGGGGCTGAAAGTGCGGCGCGAGGAATCGGATAGTGTTCGTTCGACGGGCATCCGAAAGGCTGCATTATTCCGCGGCCACCGTGCCCGCGGCTGACAGTATCGCCGGCGGCCAAACGGCGAAATGGTTTGAGAGTGAAAAAAAATCATCTCGTTGCCATGACACCCCGGTACACCGTGGTCTTTCTGCACGAGCGACAACCTTGCTGGAGCTCTGCGCGTGCGGAGCATGAGGCGGCACGAGCCGTCTTTGCCGTGCCCACGGGTCGACGAATCATCTGCCGGCGCCGCTTGAAACCATAGTTAGAGAGAGAAAGAGAGAGAGAGTGAAAAGCGAACTTTATCTGCACTGCGCGAGGAGCGTGCTGTCCTCACCCGAAGAGTATTATCTTACACCGTGATTAAGAGATACGTAGGTGCATCTTGGATTAGCTTTATGTTATTTTATTGAGACATACACATTTCAAACTCCAAAAGCATAGTTTTTTCTTTCGACAAGCAAATCTTGTAAAAACTACTTCGCGCAGCGCACGAATAATGCCCAGCACTTCCTTTTTTTGTATGTAGCAACGAGTATAGTCGTGTGACAAAGTAGCGTCTCTTAAAAAGCAAACAATGACCCCGGTTTCGGTTACCCGCCAACACCAAGTACTCAAAGACGAAATTCCGAGCAATACGTGGATTTAATGTCAACACACTTCGTCCGAAGCACCAGGCCCATACTGACTGGCGCTTTTCACCCGCAAGCGAGTCTACTTCGATTGCCTCCTCTATACTGACAAGGCCTGGCAGATTGCCACGAGAAGCGGCCGCCGAAATTAAAAAGGTGGAGCGGCAGACAACGGATGAGAGGAGAGCCACGTGACTGGCGCCCCGCTGAGGCGAGATGCTGAACCCTACTTCTCCCGAGCGAACAAGTGTGTTTCGGGTCCTCGCCGCCGCACGCTAACGTTGCAACGAGTACGACGTTAGCATGCGTGGCGCCGAGACGGACGCGTCTGCCGGTTCGTGGTGGCTCTCGGTGAGCTTCAGCGCGTTTTCCGCTTGGGCCATTCAATGATCCACTAGAGATAATGTAATGCGCGGGTCTCGTCTTCTAAATACTTGTTGCCACTTCGAGAATGAAGCAAGTTTTCCGCATTGTTCGTACGCCGCGTAAAGTAGTTCTTAAAAGTTTTGGTCGTCGGAGGAAGAAGCAAGGCGTTTGAAACGTTATGTCTTGGCAGGATAACTTTACGTCTAATCTAAAATGCACATACATATATCTTAGTTCTCTGCATGAACAGAGAAATTAGTAATGCTCCGCGAGGAGCGAGTCTTTTTTTATTTCCGTCGTTGATTTGGAAGCGAGTATAGACGGTATTGGTATTGACTGCCGCAATTGCGCCGCGTTGCAGCATCGTGCTGGGCGGCTTCGGAGCCGACCGCTTCTACCTGGGCATGTGGCAAGAAGGCATCGGAAAGCTCTTCTCCTTTGGCGGTCTCGGCGTGTGGACTCTCGTGGACGTCGTGCTCGTGGCCGCGGGGTACCTCGGGCCCGCCGACGGATCACTCTACATCTCCTGACCTCTTGTCCTCGCTGCGTGACCTCGTACGAAGTGTCGGCCGAAGATCCGCCCGTCCGGTATCGCGGATCCACGGGTGCCGTGGGAAGGAGTGCGGGGGTTCTGTGCCCCGGCGTAAGGGGAACGCGACAGAACAGCACACGACATAACAGCACGGTCAAAACAGCACAGCATCAGAAACGGCAAGCGTCGAAACGGCACGCGACAAAACAGCACGGCGTCGAAACAGCAGAGCAACGAAGGAGCACGTGCCAAAACACCACGCGACAAAACTGCACATCAACAAAACAGCACGCACGTAAGTGCACATTGTTTTTTGACTGGAGAACACATTATTAGCAGCACGCACTTAAATGAAGTATGCGCTGGTAATGTGTTCAGCAGAACACGTGTGCTGCTGTTACATTTCATTATCTACAGTTATATGGCTTTAATATATTATTACCCCTGTCGTTATATTCTATTACCTACTTATAGCTTGTCGTGCATGTTGAAAAATATAAAACCTTCCCACCGCAAGTCGTTGAAGGTAAGTTTCTTGCCGTCTTTTTAATGACTGATTGATTGTTAATCCGTTAACGTTTTATATCGATACAAATGTGGCACCCTATTTACCCAAAGGAAGAATAAAGATCACAATTAACGAGTTTAATGGAGCTGATAAACAAATGGTCCACAGTGGCATCTTGTTAATTCAAACTCTCTTAATTCAAACTAACATGCAGGTTCCATTCTAACTCGCGGCAGTTTAAACTTTGCTTTATTCAAACGAATGTTTGGTCCCCCTTAAATTCGAATTAATGAGATTAGACTGCATTTTACATACATTATGGTTTTACACATAGCTTACATGCAGTAAAAATAGCGACAGCCCACAAGAGTGTCGATGAGGAGCTGCGTGTCATACTGGGACAGGAGGTTGCTTAGTCTTTGCGAGATTCTCGCATACGGCTTTGAACCTGATAAGGTGCACTCTGTTTGGCCGTCACTCCTCTTCTCCTTTGGGTACATAGGGCGCCGCATTTGTATGGATAGAAAACGCTAGCAAATCAACAATCAATCAGTAGTTAAAATGACAGCAAGAAATTTAGCTTCATTGACTTAAGGTTCGAAGGTTTCATTTTGCCGAACATGCACGAAAAGCTACGAGTAGGCAGTAAAATATAGCAATGCAGGTAATTAATAAACTCGCAAAAGGGTAAATAATAAAATGTAACTGCAAAACACATGTTCTGCCGAAGTACTTAATAATTAGGTGCGTGTTCCTCATAATGTCAAACAGCAAAAAAAAAAAACAGCGTGCATTTACGTGCGTGCTGTTCTTTTTTTTTGTTGTGCACGCTTTGGCACGTGCTCTTCTGTCGCTTTGCTGTTTTGCCGTGTGCCGTTCTGACGTGGTGCCTGGCATAAGATATACGTGGGTCCGGACGCATGGCACAATGGACGCCGCGACGCAATCGACCGGATAAAGTTCCGTCGGCACGTGCCAAAGTAGCCCGTGCCGACAATGTCTCCGGATGGCGGAGCTGGGGGAGAAAAAGAAACAAACAAAAGCAAAAAAGTGTCTCGTCGTTGTGGCTTTCGTGCACAAGCATTTTCCGCTCGGCGCGTCTGCTTCGACCTCGACGGATGCCGTTTCAAACGGCGCGCCGGAGATCCGTCCGCTTCAATGCGCTCGTAAGACTGTTCTTGCCACCGTGGAAGCCGAAAACTAGGGTCAAGAACGAAGCTGCGTCCAAGCGTACCGCTTGTGCCAAGTTTTACGTGACGCAGCACAGCCATAAAACGAGCGCGTCTCCCGTGAACAAGTGCGGGAAGCCGGGGCCGCAACGAGCCGCCATCAGCCGCTTATTGAAGAGTCGTCCGGTGCCACCGCTTGCAACCGAAACAAGGAGAGGACTTTAGCGGGGGGGGGCACGAGCGAGGAAAAGGGGCACCGCACGGCGGTATCGTAGCAACCGGTACTGGCATCCCCATAGTGTGGTGTACCTCACGGCAAGTGCCGCGCGACGCCTACCTTTACCGCTCATGTGTTCCACGCTTTTATCTGGCAGCTGCGACACGCGCGATGTTCACACCTACGTATACCTTACACCGTCGTCTAAAGTGCTGTCTGTCTTCACGACGCTTGTCGTCCGGCGTCCCAACTCTGGCGAGCCCGGAGCACGACCTGTCGACGGGGCGTCTGGAGGTTCTTTTTTGTAATTTATTCCGAGATCTGACGTAGGATGTACCGTATCTTCGACTTCTGCTTCCCTTAAAGCCCGTTTGCGCGTACACCACGGCGACGGTTCTACTTCGGCGCTATTAGTCGGCGCCGAAACGGCAATCGTCTCGCCGAGTTGCCGACTTTGCGCTGCACTACCAATACGGTGCTGCATCAATGCTAAGTTTCATTCGAGTTGGCTTTGCACGGGCACCATTCCTAGTGTTGATTTAGCATTACACCGTTTGAGTGAACCGGTCATTAATGCTATTATTGCTGGGTTTTTTTGTTTGTTTTCTTCTTGTACATAAGAACTTCTTTTGGAGCTAGTCAACGGAGGTGTGAGGTCGGCACAAGACGTGTCTGCACGGATCCTCGTGCACTGGGGCAGGTGTTACTGGATTTGTCCGGACTACTTGTTTCCGTCTCCGAGAGTCGGCTCGAGCCTGCCAGATCTTGCGCATTTTGGTTCCGACAGGCTCGACACAATTTCCGAAAATTTGATATAAAGTCTTCTCATCTCAACGTCTTTGTTTTTTTTTTTCCTCAGTGTGCAGCCCTGGCAGTGATACGTTGTCACGACCTTCTCTTGGGAAGGGGTCTTTCTGCCTAGCGCGTCCTCAAAATGAGTGTGAACTCGTTGTTTAGGATTTCCTGTTCCTAATCCCCCTTACCTCTTTCAGTTGCTCTATTGCCATTAAGATTCAATTGGGGGATTGCCATGGGACTTGTAACTTGGCCATCAGCAGAGCAAGTCCGTGTAGGGCCCACAAATGGAGCTTCCGATAATGAGGACAACTTGACAGAATGCAGAACGTTGTTGCGGGGCCACCTTATGTAGACCATTGCAACGGTCGCCTTCTGCGCATTGCCAGCTTCATCAGCTGGGCTGTGGAATGCATTTTGAACATTCGCAGCTGCTCTCTTACGTGAAATATTCTATGCCGTGTGTGCGTCCAGTGCCCAGTGGCATGCCTAGGTGACTAACGCCAGAAAGGTGTTCATGGCGTGCATCAAACGGATTGAACCCACTTTAAATAAATCGGGAGAAAATAAGCTTTGGATTGCAGCACGAGACTATTCTACTAAGAAGGTGTGACTAGGAAAACTTTTAGCTTTATACATGTTCTTTTGGAGTGTCCCTTTAAGGTGATGTGGACTAATTCACATGTTAGGTCAAACGTTGTGGACTAATTTAAAGTCGGACTTAAAGGAAACAGAAAAGGGAGGAAGAGAAGTTCTCCTGGGCTTACCCTGTTTTTTTTAAAAATCAATTGCACCAAAGATCCTCAGCAACATTCTTTTTAACTCGGAACATGTTAAATGCCTGCGTGGAAAGATTAAACGGGAGAAGGATGAAACCGTTCATTCTTTTCGTTTAAAAAGCAAACTCTTGTTTCATATCTAAACTGTAAAGTAGGCACATTTCTGGAGTAGCTTTCAATTTAAGTCCTAACAAGTACAGTAGTCGCACTGATTTAGGCTCAACGTAAACACTATATGTTGTCACCGCATCAAGCTGTACTGTGAGTGGTAATTATAAACAAAACTACTAACTCTTGATCACGAACCAGAGCACACCTTGATGTATTGGGCATTCGAAAACTGACTAGAACGTACAACTCGATTACGTTTTGTGAGTAGTAACTGTAATCATGCACATTTGTTACCTTTCAGGCAAGTAGCTGTTATCTTAATTACTTTTGAAAAGTAACTCTTACGGTGCATCTTCCACAACAAAATAAGATGCCTTGTGCCAACTAACTACTCTAGTTGACGAGGTGGCGGTTACAAAGTGAATGTATCTATTAACTGCCCCAGCCCCATGCACAAAAAATAATTGCACCATTCAGTACAATGTCGCCTCTCCAGGGTGCTAGTATGACTGCGGTTTGTCAACTTTGTTAACAGGCACAGGGAAGTATTTTTGCTAGCAACACGGTCACTGTTAAGTGGTACTTATCAACAGTCACGCGGCATGTCTTCTGCCAGTTATCGATGCTGAAGCATCCACAGGATCCTAGCGGCTGGCTCATTGGAGTGTGGCCTCAAGTATCATAAGGCAACAGCGAAACCTGGTGCTGCGGGCCTTTGGCATGGACCTTCAATCTCTGCCGTCACCAGCATCTCTAATTAAGCGCAAATAAATATCATTATCAACATACCACACTCACTGATGGACACCATTGCGAGCATTCTGCAGTCTTCACAGTGCTGCGGTTTATTTTTCAATTTTTTAAAATAAATATGCGGTAGGGGAGTAACGTCCCAGTTTGTATCTATCTAACGACCACGAAGAACTGACTGAGATAAGTCACTTTTGTTTCGTACATCGTGAAAATAGATTTGGTCCAAGTCTTATCTTGGACATGACCGGAGACCGAAATAAACAGTACAAGTGCTGCAGACTTTGTTCGATGTGTGAAGACCGATTTTTGCCCCGCGACTGCTCCGCTAAAGTGCAAAGAGGGGAAGGCTTAGTGTGATCAGCTCGTCCCGCTTTGCCTAAACCGCGACGGACCGCACACGCAGTCGCATCTCTGGCTTCCTTAGAAAGCCGCTTCATTTTCCGATGCAAAAGTCCTTGAAGATGACATCCAGGATTTCTTCCGAGAACACCTTGCCCGTGATCCTGCCGAGGTGCGCCAAGGCCAGACGTAGGTGCTCGGCCGCCACCACGACGTCGCCATGCACATGGGAGCCGAACCGCCCGAGACTCTCGAGGCAGTGCCGGAGGTGGTGCCGATGCCTTTCCTGAGTCAGTGCCGGGCTGGCATCTGCGGGGTTTCTGCACCTGCGCGGTTTTCGAGGTTCCTCCGTCTCAAGACCGGAGCGGATCGTCTGCTGAAGCGAATTTGGCGGCTAAGACGCGGCGAAACGCTAGCACGAGACGCCAGCACTCACATTGCCTCCAACTTGGCGGCGAGTCTCGCGACCAAGTCCGCTATCCCCTCGTGCGTCGCGCAGGAAGTGAAGACGCAGTCGTGCTCGCCGCCTGCAAGTCGCTCCCGGAGCAGAGCTCTGTCCTCTTGGGAGAGGAGGTCCGTCTTGTTGACGACGAACAGGAGGCCTCCCGGGCACGGCTCCACGCCCAATTGGTCGAGATGAGCCTCCACGGAACTGTCCGCCCCGTCGGCACAAAGTAGCTCCCTGCAATCCGCCACGACTAGAGCCAGGTCCGCGGCGGACGCCCTGAAAAGCGCAAAGGCACGACCAAATTATTTGCCACGGTTCCAAGTCCCGAGGGTACGAAGAAAGAACTCTGGCAGGAAAAGCGTAAGAACCAATAGTTTGTTGCAACTCAAGAAGGTAGGTCGAGGGAAAGGAAGGCCGGGGAGGAGGAAGCAGACAGAACGCTGGATCTCGGCATATACCACGTGCTTTGCCAACCCCAGCCTGCGGGTACGATGCTGGCATATAATGAGCCCCAGATCCCACAGCCATTTGTTCCGACAGCAAGTTGAACGGTGAATGCTGGAACTAAAATGCTTGTTTCGTAGATTCTGAACTTCGACAATTAATTCTAAGCAGTATTTACCAAAAGCGTAAAAATTGTTGCACAGCCCCTGCAAAGCAGACCTGCGTCGTCTACTCGTCGGTCTGACAGGCGCCCCTACCATCGCCGTGCCCTAAGGACGCCCTCCGTCTCCACGGGGTCCTTGCTGGTCCGTAAGCCCGCCGTGTCGCAGAACACCGCGGGGTAGCCTCCAATGTCCAGTGGACTCTCGACGACGTCGCGCGTCGTCCCCGCAATCGGAGACACGATCGCTGCATCCCTCCGACCTACGGAAAAATGGAGGAAAGCTCACCACTGATGAAGCGTCTCCGTCACTGGCCCCGGTGATTTCTGCGCGAACGGTTCGAACCATGAAACGATCCTGAGATGCAGTTTCTTTCAGTATACTGTAAAACCCTTTATTTTCATAGTCCTGATTTGTCGCGAATTGGACAGCGGGGTTATATTCGCGGTTATTAAATTTTGCGAGTTCTAAAGGCTGGAATTTGCCTCTACAGGCATTAGAAATATTTGCACCCACTAAAGTTTGCAAATATTACAAGTCACGAAATTCGTGTTTGTTTAGCCAGTCAGCTGTAATGTGGGTGTCTGGTCTTTTCGCTGTGGATGACAAATTGAGCCAGTACAGTACCACCGCTAGCCCGGGGTGTTTACCGTGCGTCACACAGTGGTGATTACACAAACTCCCACCGATACGATGTTCATCCAGATCGAAACGGGCAGGGGCGTAGTTTGAACCCAGAATCTCTGGGTTCTGCGGCATGGGCTTTTGCTCCGCATGCTCAGAGCTTCATTGCATAAGTGCACTCAGCCACCATTTTTCTTCGGTATATCTCGTATTATAACAGATTTGAGCCAGTAGCTTCCTTTTTACTGAGCATGCAGTATCTTGTAAAGAGAGGTAAAGCATTTCTTGTAGTGGCGCAAGCTATCGATAGTATCAATAGTCACCAGAAATCTGACTATCGATAGTGGACTATCGAAAAACTATCGACAGTCGACTATCGAAAAAGTATCGATAGTCGACTGTAGAAAAACTATCGGTAGTCGACTATCGAAAAAGTATTGAAAGTTGACTATCGAAAAACTATCGGTAGTCGACTATCGAAAAACTATCGATAGTCGACTCTCGAAAAGCTATCGATAGTACTATTGATAGTCGACTATCAAAAAACTATTTTTAGTCGAATATCGGAAAACTATCGATTGTCGACTATCGTAAACTTACCGATAGTTCTGCGACACTAGTAGTTTGCGTCGTTCCCTCTTCTCTTTTTACCGCTTTATTTTTTTCAAATGGGACATCAATTAGCCCAGGCACTTAACAACCCAACTTTGGTTCAGCTTTCAGTGGTGACGAAGACGGGAGTTTGGGCGAAAAGAGGAGAAGGAGAGGCGAGCAGCGGTGAGGCAACTGTGCTCGCTACTCAAGAAGGTAGGGCGAGGCTAATACCCGTGCCACACGGGCAACTCGAATGTCGTCTACAAAGAATGACATTTGAACGATCGGCCAATCAGCGCGCGACGCTCCGGACGTGGCGCATTCCATGCTCGACAGATCGCGAGCCGATTCGTCGATCACATGAATGTCATTCGTTGTAAAGAGCATTCAAGTTGCCCTTGTGGCACGGCTATAAGATGGGCCGGGGAGGAGGAAGCAGACGGAACGCTGGAGAAGAGATGAAGAGATGGGGAAGCCTCCTTCTCTCTTTAGCATTCCATTTGCTTCCTCCTCCCCGGCTCGTCTTACTCTTGCCCTACCTTGTTGAGTTGTATTGGACAATAGTAGTGCAAAACTATCGATAGCACTATCGATAATATCGATAGTCGCGAGAAATCTGACTATCGGAAGTAAAAAGAACTATCGATAGTCGGCTATCGAAAAGCTATCGATAGTACTATCGATAGTCGACTATCGAAAAGCTATCGATAGTACTATAGATAGTTGACTATTGAAAAGCTATAGATAGTCGACTATTGAACAACTTTTGATAGTACTATAAATAGTCCACTATCGATAGTTCTGACACACTGCCGATAGTTTTGGAAAAACTATCGATAGTATTGATAGTCAATTTATCGATAGTTTTGCATCACTAATTTCTTGTTGGTAAAAGAAATTGTATTAATTTTTAAATATGTCGAAGCTAATTCATATTATTTAAAAATAATGTGTGTTTTGTATCCATGGTACACCCAAGTTTTGTCAACATTCAGCCCCTACAAAGTAAAAGCCGTGCCATGATAAAAACTTTGCATAATCAAATCGAACGGATACTTTCTCTCTATCGGCACATAACAAGCTCAAAACAAGGTTGTAAGGTACAACATACTATGTATCTGAGAGATTACATCATACTTTTTTAAAGCTGAGACTGCATAGTCTTTCCCTTGTCATCCTTTTGTCTGCTGAAAAGCGAGGCTGAATAGGTGATGACGTCTTTACCCACTGCATTCTTTTAGTGCCTTTACTCCGCAATGCCGAGACGGACGCAACAAGCTTTTGCGCGAGTGAAGAAAAGACTCCTGGGTACTTTACACAAAACCCCATTCCCAAGTGCCCCAGCTCACAGAGGGCATTGAAGAGGCTGCTCTTTCCAACGTTGGTCCTGCCAACAATGGCGACCTTCACGCCGCTTCTCAGCCACTCGCCCCTTCTCCCGTCCGAAAGGTGGTCCTGGATTTCCTTCGCCAATCTTTCCGCCTGGGCTGCAGCTGAAACGTAATTCTAGTTGGCTTTTACAGGGAAGCTGTTATGCGCTAGGATCTCGAAAAAAATGTGTCCATGGATGTTAACAAAATCTTTCCGTTTAAATGATGCTCCTTCGTTCCGATTGGTCGTGGCAAGTATAAATAAAAAGAGGGGGCAACCAGCGTAAGTCGGCCTCCCGTGGCACTATTAGATGGTCGGGTCCTGATCCCTTGTTATCATATACGGTCACCCACTTATCTCAGCTAAGAGTGCGCTGTGACAAGGCTGAGGGCAGCACACACCAATCTAACCTTCTTTCCTTTCGCTTCTGCAATGCTGACAAGAGACTTGGGCTCAATCGGAAAAAAGACAAACGAAGTCGTGTACGCGTCTTCATTGCAATCATACGTAAATCGTGTAGATGTCTTACAGTTGTCGTAAAGATAACCGCTTTGCTGGTCCTCCATCTTCACGTAAAAGAGATGGGCTGTACAATTTCTTTTATTTTTTTTTTATTTTTACACTTGGAGCCATTGTGGAAGCGAACACAGCAAAGCATGGCACACCCTACTTTGGGTGCCACCTAACGAATCCCAACAAAACATGCGTCAAGCTTTGCAGAGGGTTGATTAGAAGGTTTCAGTTGTGTTCATATCTTGCATTAATCACAACTGTAATGCTCGAAAGTGAGGGGTAATCCTTACAGATTAATAAAGAAAAAAAGCAAATCGGCTTCCTTTGTCTTAGCACGTTCGCCCAGAGACCCCCACACTGTGCTAAATGTTGCTATATTGTAGAATGTTTCTACAAGTAAAATCCTTTTCATAGCTGTTGATCGGTAATTCTTTGTAAGTTTGCTACAAGGCCTGCAACAAGCTGGCAGAACTGCATGTAGAAAAAGAAAAAGTTGATATAAAAATGAGTCTTCTACTAACCGGAGCCCAGAATCGCTTCGTCAATGCCCTGGTCTTCGCTGAAGTCAATGAAGGCTTCAATGTTGGCGAGACACTGCAATGGACGAGTGATATTGGACATGTTATGTTGAAGTATAAAAAAAAAAAAAAAAACAGTTTTGTTTTTATGTAAACCATAGTACTCCCAACATTTAAAGGCCTAAAGAGTGGCTTGTATGTCGTATGTGAGAAAATTAACTGATGTCACCTCAATTGCCAGCACTTGACATGCTTGCCAGAAAGTGCATCATAATGCCTGAATTCAAAAATGTTCCAAAAGTGTTCCTGAATTGCAAAATACGACTTGGGTGGAATGGACACCATGAATGTCAGGATCACACCTTCCACTGAGGAGCCCAGAGGCGTGACGCCAGGGTCACTTTCTCAAAACACGCATTTGCAGTCACTTTGATGGCAAGAGTGACATGTCTTCTCAAAGTGCTATACCTTCTTTAGGTTGTCCATCCAGCCACGGTACAGCTTGCTGAGGTTCCCTTCCATCTGCGCCAGCGCTTGCATCCTCTGCGCTTCTGTCTCGGCCTGCAGAAGGTCGGCAAGACCTTCAACCTCCGCGAGGTCCATCTTGCCGTTGAGGAAAGCCCTGCGATTGAACGAAACCAACCGTCTAGCCGCCCAGGACAGATCTACCGTGCCGGCTGTTCTAGGCTGACAAACACGCTGCATCTTTCTAGGCATCAACAGGGTGTGACCCCAAATAAAAATTTACAGGGTTCTTTTTTACCGGAAATATAAACTATGCACCGCTGAAAGCTCGTCCTCTGTCCAAATTTAGCGCTAGTGGAACAAACCAGAAGCCAAAGTTTCGCTCATAAGATATGAGCGAATTTCTGAAATTTTCAGTTAGGAAATGGCAGCTGACGAAACCTTTGAATACACGAAGCTTAATAGTATCAGTAAACGTGAACGAACATCATTTTTCTATTGAAATTTTCAGAAAATCATTAAGAACTTTTGAATCAGGTAACGGTTAGTTCTGACCGTTTGGCACCTGGTTTGGACTACTAGCGTTACATTTGGACGAAGAATGAGCGTTCTGAGGTGCATAGTTTTATTTCGGTAATAAAAGAAAAAATTGCGGAGGCTTAACTTGGTTATGCCAAAATATACGTAGCGTGAGCTTATGCACACAAAATGAGAGGCGCTATCAAGCGGTTCCAGTGCAGCATCAGACTTGGCTACTGCGCAAAGGAGGCGCACAGCTGGGCACGTGGCGGCGCCAGTGCGTCTGCCACGGCTATGATGTCACTCCTCTGGAATGAACAGACCGGCGAGGCAGGCGTGGCGGCGGCGGAGCGCGCGGCAGCGGCAGCTTTGGCGCGCCAGCTGTGCGCTGTGTGACGTCACTGCTCCTCGCGCATGCACAGACCGGCGAGGCGCGCGCAGTGGCAGCGGCTTTGGCGCGCCAGCTGTGCGCCGTGTGAGTTCACTGCTCCTCGCACTTGCGCAGCATGGCTGTTTGACAGCCACGCGAAACTGCTCAACCTCGGCCAGTGTAGCTCACGCTACAAAAAACACCAATATTTTTTTTCTTCTTGCGACACGCTGCAGTTGCCATATCAGATATATTGGCTTAAAGGCCCACGAGCGGACTCAAGATCCTGCAAGGCAGAAGATACTGCTTACTATGAAGGAGGAGGGAACAGGCAACGGTGGACAGAGTAGAAGGGGGGAGAGGAGAAAGCGAGGGAAAAGTGGAAAGTGCGAACTGGTCGCCAGTCTTTAACACTAAAATCAAATGTCAAAATGGCCCCAATGCCCATTGCTTAAAAAAAATAATTTTTTGCTGGGGTGTGGAGGCAGATCTGTCTGTGTATTTAATTTAACATGTATTGCTACTACGGGATGCCCTTTGAAGACCCCAGGCTTGCAGTGGTACAGCAGTGGCTATCCCCTACAGCGGGGACACCACAAGCCCGTCGGGGTTGACCAAACCCCACGCCGCCTACACAGACGCGCAGCACAAAAAAAAATGCAACAGATACGAAACTTGCCTCTGGGTGAACTCTCCTGGCTGCGCCTGTCGCAGGTCTTCCATTTCGGAAAGGGCCTTCAGGACACCATTAACCACGGCTGCACCGCCATGCACATGAAGCTCGCAGCAGTCTTCGCCAGTGTAACTCCGTGGTGCTGCAAGGTACGAGGCTAGTATGTTAAACTGAACAAGGGCAGTTTGCTCAATGCCTCGTATTAATTTACCTCGTGGTCAGGAGCCATGTTAACGACTTCATAAAGCTGCAACTTCCTCTACCGCTTCACGAAGTTGCCAGAAGCGAATCGGCAAATCTGAATAGTCGGTCGGTCACTTAGTTTGACATTGTCAACTCAAATTTTCTATCGAGTCCTATGGGCAGACATGGGAGAGCTGGAGGTGTCCTCCTATGTATTATTTTCCCCCAAGACAAAATATTTTTTTTGTTAGGAATTTTTTAACAGCTGCCATCTAGAATCATGCTGAGTGTTGGTAGGCAGGTTTGGACAACAGAGTAACCATCATTCGGTGGTTTTACGAGCGAGGTGCATTGGCATGGTCATTACTCTTTGTGATCACCGGCAGGGTGAGAATGGCAGAGGTGTCTTTCAGTTGTCGCACCTCCAGCACAAGCTTCCTACCTTCGTTAACACTTTGGTGACTCGCAAGTATGCACGCATAGCCAAACCAGAGCCGAGGGCGACGAGCTCATGCTGAAGACATCTAAAGGAGACGCCCTGTCCTTCCTGCCCTGTCAGTGAATATTGTAAACTAAAGTTGCATAAAATAATTTTTTTTGTCAAATTTTTATTGAATGGCATTAATACCTGGAAAGAATGCGCGGTGACCTAGGTCTTTCCCGACCTCGACTGCGAGGTTGAAAACAAAGGGTGTCTAATGGGGTACGCCGACCGGGCTTGGCGGGTCTAAAGTGGCTTTCCGTATTACTTGCCCTCCCAGAGTGTTTCATATTTCACGCTGTAAAATTGACTAGACTTTACTGTCATCGGAAAAGACATCTCCTTACACTTAACTATGGGCAAGAACTCCACTTATAAAGGTATTGATGCTGTCGTTCATTATGACCCTGCAAAGTACGATAGTATCCGCTGGGAAGTACCATTATCCAGACAGCACGTGTCTACGAAATGCATTACGGAGATATCGCGCATAATTTCGACATTTCCTATGCATGGTATTATGCAAGCATTAACAGCACATTCACGCAGAGGCCATAAGCGGATCTTGCGCTACACTAATTGCTAAACGCTAATACCAGCGAAACGGTGGCATACATGGAAACCAAATGACAATCGCAGTGTCCAAATGGACCCCGGACTTCGGGTGGATCAGTCTTCGAAGGAGGGCTTTTCGTGGAGCAGCTCGTTTTATTCGTGCCATGCGGCGAAGCACACTCGCTGTGTTGGGACCGGAGACTCTTATTGTAGCTAGGGCACTCCTCACGGCACCCGATGACAGCGCGTAGATTGTCGAGGTAGATTTGTTCCTGCAAAATGCGGCATTTTGGCGAATGAGACCGTTCAAAAGGTTCACAACCGCGAAACATGCCGACATGCCTCCGTTCCATCGGCTAATCTTGACTTTTGGATTGCTGCTCAAACATGGGAATTTCGAAAATCCGCTATATTAGTTCTTTCTAGAAGCTCAACCTTCCTATATAAAAATTAAAACAACTTTTATTATAAAAATAAACAAAATCAATTTATGCGACTTTTTTTTAGTGGCATCAAAGTGTAAAGACAACGAAGAGCGACCATGCATGCGGTAGTCACTTGAGTTGACCCGAGTCAACGTCTGGCGCTTTTTATTGTGACGTCACAGATAGTTTTTGACCGACTAGAAGGAAGTATTTGAAGCAAATAATTCAACCAAACAAAGGAACGCAATCCCATTGAGGCGATGCAGAAAGGCGAAACAAACCAGACGACCTTTTAGTTTTCTAAGTTTGTGTATCTTCCGCGGTATATATTTTTATATTTAATTATAAAGTAATAATTAATGCTATAAATTATTATATTTATATACCTTTTACGTAACTTTACGTTTTGGATTGTTGCACAAAGTCGTCCTCTGCCGCGCGTGGTTGAAGAATCGCCTTTTACCGCTACCTCGTTGACTTGTTCAGCTTCGGAGTATTTTCCGATCCTATGCACATCGTGATCGGCGTTTTTTTTAACGCCGAAAATTAAAACTCATTATCAGTTTACACACCTAATACGCGCAAAGCATGGATCAGAACGGCTCGGGTGAGAACGGCAGCATGAAGGGGTAAGTTAACAATATTTTTCTGCGTTACGCGCCACCGTTCGAATCGTTGTAGGGCCGTTCCTTTATTCGTTTGTTCGCTCATCGCTTTCAAGTAAGATCTAAACAAATAAACACATTCTGCCACCCCGTGTATCACAGAATTCATTTTAGACGGTGCTTGAAGATTTCGTTGCAAGTTTCGCAAGCGTGACGGGATAGATTTTTTTCGTAAACCAGCCATGGGAGATGTGCGATAGGGTTGTGAAAATCACAGCCGCGTGGATTTTATTTTCATGCATATGCATTCGTTTATTTCAGCCGCTTTTAACGCAGGGGGGCTTGGAGCCTGGGATTTTATTTTGGAAGCAGCGGAGGGGTATTTCGCAAATCTATCGGGACAACGAACGAACGTTTCGTGGAAGTCGCACGCGCGCTATCTCTACTACGCATGCGCGAAAAGCAGCTCTCTCAAAAAAATGAAAGCAAAAAGAAAAAAAAATTGCACGCTGCGTGTTCGAGCGAAGCCTAGCCACCTGCAGCTATGAACCGGTACGATTTTTGGTTTTATTCTTTTGGAGAATCTGTTAAAAGCGCATTAAAATGAGTGGTTCACCGCTTTTGATTCGCAACCACGCGTTTGGGAGTCGTAGGGCTTCCTGAACGCTCCACCGAAGCCGGCAAATGAAAAGAAAAGCGATCCGCCATTATTTCGTGCACCTTGCCGTCGAGCGTTTTCTTTTTTCAGATGGTGTGACCTGCGAGGAAACAAAAACGAGAGTATTAGTGACGAAAAATGATGATAAGCAGATGGTTTTTGACGACCGATTCGATTGTTCTGCGTCCTTTAGAAAGGCCACCGACGTAGTGGCGGGAGATCGTTGCGCACGGGCGCCTTTTTGTGGAGTTTTGTTTTCATATTCTGTAAGGTTGGCGGCTTCTTGAAAGTGAGGCGCAAAGAATCGTGGAATGGTTTGTAATACATAGCGAGCGCATCCGGCGTTCGAGTTTGGGGTCAAATTTCTACATGTCTCGTCTAACATATGTGCTGAGCGCGTGGCGCTTGGCAGAGCTACAGCGCTATGTCCGGACATTTCATCGAACGCCGTTTCATCGAACGTCTTTTCATCGAACGCCGTTTCATCGAACGTCTTTTCATCGAACACCGCTTAGTTTAGTAGTTATGTAACCGGTATACTTGCAGTGTTGGGAAGCAATGCTGTTATTTGTGACAATTTTTTTTAAAGATGTGAACATATTGTTTTTTAATGACTACCAAGTAAAACGGTACTTTTTCGCAGTGCTGGGGAAAGTATATACAAAAAAATCTTCAAAAATAAATTAGAGGTTATGTACTTCCTGTAAAATGATAAGTACACTGGGCACAATGTACTTAAAGTGCTATAAATACAGTATACGTGCAAAGTAAAGTACAAGTATTTATTAACACAATTTTCATGATGTTGTTTCGTTCCCCTCTACAGTGTTCTTTTGTTTTGTTTTTAGCTGGTATGCATTGCCCCAGGGATAATTTGGGGTGAATCAGTTAATTTCGAAAATGGCGGCTGCAAATGTTGTGTAAAGTTAAGTGGTTAAAGAGTAGCAGCTGTAGTCGCGAACAGCGAAAAAATCGGCGACTAAGGATAGATTCGTTTTGCGGTATTCACGAGCGCGAAGCGAGTGGGTGACTATCTAGTCACAACTAACAAGCAGAAGGGACATAAAAAGATAGGTGACGCATACGCATACTTAAACACAGCTGCGTGAGTGGGTATCTTATCGTATAAATACTAATGTTTGAATAAAAAAAACAAAAACGTAAGGGTGCAGGCGAGCTGGTGAATATTAACCATGTTAAATTAACCTAAGACTGGGGTAGAGAAGTTGTCTTGTCTATTTTCCCACGTCGTCTGGTCTATTTTCTGTCCCTTCCACGTTTTGATGTTTCTTCTCTAATCCAGTCTCAGGTTAATTCAACATGGTTAATCTTTAAATGTTAATCAGGAAGGAAAAGAGTTAAGAGACTAATTGTATGAATAAAGGTTTTACAAAGAAAAAATAAATAAATAAATAAAAATGCAAGGAAGAAACACTGAAGGCCGCATTGCCAGCGACATAAAAGATGGAAGCACCTGTAAATGTGTTTTTTCTCGTCGTCCAGCTCCCTGCTGAGATCTCTTTAGCGGTATCTGCGACCGTAGAACATGGCTACTTACACTATGTTTGCTCGTCCAGTTCTTTCTAGATGTGTCCCCCATGTTCCGAGACAGTAAGTGCTTCGTTAGCTCTGGCGGTCAGCAGTGATCGAGTCGGTCATGGCACTGAACCGCTAGTCACCCATTAAACATCGGCTAAACTAGTTATACCTATGGTTCGGAGTTTTCGGTTTAAACTGATAAAAGTACGCCGAATCCATTTTCGGAAATTCGGTTTTAACCGAAAAAGGTCAGTTTTTAGGTTCGGAATTTTTTATTAAAACCGATAAAAGTATGTCGAATCAATTTTCTAAAATTCAGTTTTAACCGGAAAAGGTCACTTTGACCTTCCAGTCGTACCGCAGGGCCGTGGCGAAAACGTAGAACGACAGTGTCTATCGAAACGTGTCCGAATGTATGGGATACACGGATGCCATCACGACGTTTTGGTTTAATGTGCGCACCATCGATCGGAACTTGAAGTCTGAAATGCTTCATAACTTTGCCATGTACGAGCATGTTTTCAAACTCGTTTTAAGGAAGACTGATTTTATGCAAGCTCTGCATGCTGTGTTGAGCTTCACAAAGTTGCACCGTGTCTCTTTTGGGTGGTCACAATTGGTTGATTGGCCGATTTTGGCTCAGGCAGCGCTTCCTCTCCTCAGCCCGCCAGTGTCCAGTATTAGTGTTGAGAGGGCATTCTCGAAGCTCAGGGCCATATAGCAACAGGAAGGAAAGAGGAGAACCTGGGAATGTACATCTGGGTGTACCATTATAAGATACCGCAATCCCGAAGTACAGAAGGTGAAGTTCTATGTTTTTCGGGCATAGGCTTCATATCTGACTTCTTCGTGCTTCTCAGGTTTTTCCTTGTTTCTTCTAGAGCTGCACACATTTATCAAATAAAGTGCTCATTTCTTTTTCAATGTACCTATGCCGTTATTCTTTGAGTGATCACAAGTATCAGAGCTACAAGGATCATCCGATCCGGTGTCCGTTGGTGTTTATTTTATATTCACCGAAAAAAGCCGATAAACTTTTGTGGGCATAAATATACGCCGAAAAACACAGAAAATTGAATTTTAAAATAAACACCGAAAAAAGTACGCCGAATTTTGAAAAAATAGAAACCGAAAACGCAGAACCTTAGTTATACCCCATGACTAAGATTTGTTAGTCGGCTTACTAGTTGCGCGGGGCGACTAGACCCTAAACACAACCGGTAACTACCAAGCACTCACTTAACTGCGACTATCGCTCGCCACGTGATCATTTTAGTCGATGACGTTGCTAGTCAGTGGTTAAACAGGTGCTACTTGCGCCTGGTGAATACGGCAATAGTTGTTTAATACCGCAGTAAGACTGGCACATTAAGGCCACGGTCCCACTAAATGTGGCAGTTTAGGTACTTTTTGGCAGGTCATTACTCATCTCCTTTTAAATACTGTTTTGTGAGATTGATGTCATTTGAAAAGCAATGCAATCCTCTTTGATTTGATATTATGTATATGTTGGTTTTTACTGTTCATGCAGATTTGTAGCGTTGCGAATATGATGGCGCGGACCTTCACTTGCTCCGCTAGTTCATGTTTTATAAACGATCCATTAAAGATAACACGGTTCCAATCTAGCAGAGGACATACTTAGAAGTAGTTCCCATCACTGCTATTTCTGCGGCATCGTCTCTCAGATTGCCCACTTGTTGCCGGTTGCTTTTTACTCAAAGTGTAGCTATGTTTTGTGATTACTGAACACAAATCAATTCACATTGTACCAGTTGTGTGGGAAGGGAAAGAAATCCCCGCAAGGCAACACTATGCACAACATTTTGGAGCACGGTCTTGCATAAGAAAATATTGTCACAAATGACAGACAACGAGGCAGGCCGACACTGGAGCAACCATACTCCATTTCACCTTGCTGAGAATCGCCATAAATGCCACGAGTCATCGACGCCAATAGAGCGCCATGCGAGTGTCACCCGATTTGGACATATCTAACACGGTGATAGTTTGTTCTGGCGTGCACAGGCATGCTGCGCTGCCCTTCATTTGTAGTTTGCGGACAAGCCCCCAGACTCGTTGCTCAAAAAGGGTCCATTTCACTGTCTGGCAGCGCTGGTTTGCAGTGCCAATTTGGAGTGTAACTGCGAAGAAATTGGTGGAATATTTCTTTTAAGATGTGGCTTTGAACCTGATCTCTGCAGGGGCTACTACAGGTCGCGGTCTCGGTCTCCGCTCGACCACAGCCCGGACCGCGGTCGGGACGGGGGGCGCCCCCGCCGGCGCTCCGACGTTCGCCCCGAGCGGCGCTCTCGCGCTCCGTCGGATCGCAGGGTGTACGTGGCGAATGTGCCCTTCGATTGCAAGTGGACGGACATCAAAGACCTGTTCCGCGACAAAGGTCAGCTGCCTGACGTCAGTTGGCGTCTCCAGAATGCACGTGGAAACGTCTGTCACTTTTAGCCACAACACAAGGTAGCCCGATGCTGGGGCAAGGAGCACGAAAAGTTCTAAAAGTAGAAGCGATGAACAAAAGGAAAAGAAAAATCTAAATTATTTAAATGCAATTTGTCTCTTCTTTTTCTGTGTCTTCCACTTTCAAAACCTTTTTATTTCCTTGTCCTAGTATCGGGTTTAAAGGCTGTTTCGAGCATTTGCGTTTCCTTGCCTTGGGTGCACCTCCAGTCCATGGTGGGTAAAATAATCCTGCAAGCGGAAGTGCACAAAAGTAGGTGAAGGAGTGTACTCTTTGTTGAGGCTGTTTGAGGCGCTCTAACTGCATGTCCTCGGAAAGCGTTGGAACCTCTTAATATCTCTTGCAATGAGGGAACACTAGTTCCATCTATTAAGTAGTTGTGGACGTTCACTTTCTCTTTCGTTTAACTTTTGACGATGTTATAAACGACAGTTTCTCATAGATAGCATGTGTTTTTGATTTGCAAATACCGAAATGGAGTTCCAGAGTCACCTCATAGATGGTGCTAGTGTGTATTTTTGTCGTAAGAAATTTTAAGAGGTTTTAAGGCATAGGGTTCTAAAAAGCTGCAAGTGTGTGAACGGAGGAGTGTTTGCTTGCATTTACTCGCACCATGTTGAGATACGACTAGGGGTCACCGGACATCCATACTTCGTATGCCGCACGAAAGGCTGCTCCTTGTAGTGGTTGCCACACTTCATACAAAAGTATGGATGTCTCGATGGCTCGTGGTCCTAACTGGACGTAAGCCCTTGGAACAATTGCAACTGTGTGAATGGGCCCCTAGAGGTGCTGGCACCTCCATGATGAGTAATGGCGTGCAAAATTTTCATTATTGCAGTTGGAGATGTCTCCTATGTGGAGCTGTTTGAAGATGAGAACGGCAAATTCCGCGGATGCGGGTGAGTGCCTTCCCGTCTGCGCATTTAGCATGGCCGCCTGACACCTGGCTTTACGCAGGATTGTTGAGCTGAAGGACAAGTCCTCCGTGCCCAAGGCCATTGAGGTTCTCCACCGGTACGAGATGAAGGGGCGCTTCCTGGTCGTGAAAGAGGTGAGCTACACGTGCACATAGGCGAGGCTAATCAGATACATCCTCCAAAGATATGTGCTCCAACCCTCTGCAAGGCATGCCCTAAAAGGCATAAAGGCATCCCCTTCCAAGATACATCCTTCAAAAAGAAAGGCATGCTCTAAAAGGTATGCTCCGAAAATACCTTTCAAAAGGTATGCTCCAAAGGTATCTTCTAAAACGCATTCTTCGAAAGGCATACTCTAAAGGCTTCTTCCAAAATGAATCCTCTCAAAATCATCCTTCAAAATGCATGCTCCAAGGTCATCCTATTAAGTGCACCTTCAAAAAAATACTTCCCCTAAAATGCATCTTCCAAATGTCATCCTTTAAAAGGCATGCTCCAAAGGCACCTTCTAAAAGACATCCTCTAAAAGGCACGCTCCATACATATCTTCCAAAAAAAAACATTCAGCCTTTCCAGTCTGGTGAAGAAGGAAGACCAGCGGAGCTGTACAATGGAAAGTAATGGCCTGCCGCAAGTCAGCAAGCAAGAGTGGAAAGGCTGCCGCCATCTATGAGCGACGGCGGTAACCAGATACATGGCTTGCCGCCGTCGCTCATAGATGGCGGTAGGTGTTCAGAGTTCGGTGTCTTCATTTTTTTGTGGGGGACACGATGCTAGGGAAACTAGCCCTTAACAGCTCCGCTGTAAAACATGCTCCAAGGGGCATGCTCTAAATCTGCCTGAGGAACTCATCACTGGCTGGGTCCTTCGCAATTGCAGGACTTTGACGTGGAGCGTGACCGGATGGGACGTCCGGTCCCGCGTGGCGGCCGATCCGGCGGCGGGGGAGAGCGCATGTCCATGATGGACGACCGGGACTACCACCGGGACGGGCGGGGTCACTCGTCGGACGGCTACGGCCGCGGAGGTGGCGGTGGCGGCGGAGGTGGCGGAGGGGGCGGTGGAGGCTACAACACCTACGGACTCAGCCCCCAGTTCCTCGACTCCCTTGGCATCGTGGGGCCGCTGTCCAACCGCATCTTCGTCGCAAATGTGAGTGTGGACAGCGTTCGTTCCGCACAATCCGGCACTCGCCTGCGTAAGTGCAGTGTCCACAGTGGATCCCACCACTGTAAAACGAGCCAGAAAAATCAACACCTGCACACGTAGAGCTCGAAACTTGCCAGAATCAATGGCGGATGTGTTGGCAGACGACCATAGAGATCAAAACAGTATCAGTGGCAGACGACCAAGTTAGCAATGGTCGTGACTTGTTGCACCATCTGGCGACTGGTGCAGCGAGCAGACGGCCCACTGTGTCGTACGCTCACTGCATCTGTCGGTAGATGGGGTCACAAGTTATAACTCGGACAAGGTCGGTCGTCTGCGAGTTACACGGACGACCGACTTTGCCCGAGTGCAGAACATGCTAGACAGGTGTAGCATTTATGGGGCCAGCTCATAGGGTTGTTGTGGAGTCATGCGACACTAATGTCAATTCAAAACCGCTCTAACCGTGTAGCACTTGTAGGTCTTTAGTCAACACCACCTGCCACCGTGACATGTGACACCGTAATATCAGGTCACACCATGACGTGACATCATTGCTTCACATGATGTTGCACTGACATCTTTATATGTTTGCAAAATTCTCACAATGTGTCCTTCAGCGGCTTCCAAAAGGAAGAGTGCAGAGAGACCATCTAAATGCTGTGCGTTTAAAACAGCCTTAAAAAATCCCCCAAAAAACGGCAGATTTTTTTTTTTTTTTTTATTAGAATAGTGACAGGGTAGAAGTACTGTCCAGGAAGTATGACGGAGGTCAGTGCGACGTGCCCTTGTGACACCCTCCGTTTTCGCCAGCCTCCTCCTTTGTTCAGTGGGGGAGGCGGGTGGTGCCTGCGGAGGAACAGCAATGCCTCTCGACGGGTGACTCCTGTCGAGGGGGACACACCCTTTGGCCACTTCATGTGCGCCCTGGTCTATGAAGCCACCACATATTGTGTCGTTTCCTCGATTTTATTTGAAAGTGTTTAATTAGTGGGTTATCTCCCTCTTGGATATTCTTTCTGGGGCAGCAACTACACTGGAAAACCTGTAGCGTGCACAAAGCTTACACTCCGTTCACCCCTAAGCCGACACTGCGATGGAATCCACGGTAGAATCTCGACGATACAAATTTCTCGGGGTCGCGCAAAATATTTGTATCGTCCAAAAATTTTAGTTTCCAAGATAAGCCCTGAGAAAGGTAGCAACATATGCATACTTGATGAGACCAAATGGCCCTAAGTAAAAAAGAAAAAAAAAATTGCTTCATTCTGAAAGGTAGTGCAGCACCGTAAGTATTGCACCGCCTTTGGTTTTGGCCCACTTTTATTTGATTTAATATGGGCTTAAGGTTTTTTCTATGCTGTGACTATTCCAACCAGGGTGTCTAGCGTCTAGGAAAACCGGGAATTGTCGGGAAATTTTCAAAAGGCGAGCCCAGTCAGGAAAAATGAGCCGGAAATGCCATCGAGTGTCCTGAGCAAAGACTTGAGGACTTGGGGGCAGAAATATAGGCAATAAATTCTGCTTAGAGTGAGGCGCGGGCTCTGCTCATTCCATGTAGAGTGTGCTACCCGATGCAAAGAGAACTGACAAATCCAGTCCAAGCCATGGATTGGATTGGATTGAGAGCGCGACACTAAACTATTGGGTGTTTCAAGGAGCGGCCAGGCTCTTTAAATCGATCGCGAAATTCTGTGTCTTAACCTATCGCGCTACGATTTTGTGCAGCGTTGTCCACAGATGGTGCATTTTGTTTTGGTAAAATTTAAAAAGCGCAAACTTACTGAGGAAAAAGTAAAGAAAGGAAAAGGCTTAGCTCCTATGGAAACGCAGCGAAGCCACCTGTCTTCAAACAATACGTCGCCGTTTCGCATGGGAGACAAGAGATGGCGGAAGCGGTCGCGATGCATACTTCGCCAATGAACGAGCATACGGCACCAGAGCCGATGTCTTTAGCAGACAATCTTTTCAACTCAAAAGCGGAGCGTGTTCCGATGGCGGCAACAGTAACAGAAACAAAAACGGGTGCGGTAACAACGAGAACTGCAAAGCAGACGACATCCCGACAGACCATTTCTTAATCGATTATCTGACCATTCAATATGTTTTATTAGTAAGGATGATGAAATAATGCATTGCCAATTGATATCAGAAAACCTCACTCCGCTTTTGAGTCGAAAAGATTGTCTCCTATAGACGCCGGCTCTCGGCACCGTATGCTCGTTCGTTGGCAAAGTTGGCGTCGCGACCACTTGCGCCATCTCTTGTCTCCTGTGAAAAACGGCGCCGTATTGTTTGAAGACCGGTGGCTTCGCTGCGTTAACATAGGAGCTAAGCTTTTTTCTCTTTACTTTTTCCTCAGGTAAATTCGCTCTGCAAATTTTACAAAAAAAAGCACCATCTGTGGGCAACGCTGCACAAAGTCGTAGCGTGATAGGTAAAGAAACCGAATTTTGCGGTCGATTTGAAGAGCCTGGCTGCTCCTTGAAAGACCCAGTAGATCCAGTTAGAGCTACTAGATTTAGTAAACAAATAATTGGGTTGTATTTATGGTTATACAGCCTAGAACTTGGTCTGCTTCAATGGACGACGAGTAACAAATGGGAAAGCCGCAGACTCCAATCAAATCAAAGCCTTGAGCCGAAAGTATCCGAAAGTGCATCTGGCGGCCATGTTGCTATTTGGTTATTGACGTGTGTGGTTGAGCATCGTGTTTTCATTGTGTTTCCGGAAGTGGCCTTTTCACTGACGATGTCAGCGGCAAGAAAGTGCTTGTTTAATCCGGACTGGACGAACCCAAATATTTCAGAATATGCAAGTTAGATTAGGCCCGTGCAAAATAATCCTCATTGTGCTCAATGCTCAATGCCTTGTGTTGGTATGGTCTTATATATTTAACAGCCTTTAGAGTGGTCAGGGAAAACCTGGAAAAGTCAGGAAATTTCAAAAGAATAATTTGTGAGACACCCTGTCCAACATGCATGACCAAAAAATCGCTCGTTAAGCTATTTTGCTACCCTAGACTCAACTAGAGAGCACCGGCTAGGGTAGAAAGCCATAGCCATTGCTGTGTAGCTGTGGCGACCGTGGCCCTGCGACAATCGAAGTTTCTCATGCCATTGCGGCCACTCTTCGACTGGTGTGCCTATGGAACAGGGTTGTTCGTGGCTTATTGGAATGTGATCCGAGTTGGAAGAAAGGAATATCGAGGCGTCCTCGGGGAGTGCCTCACGCAGGTGACCCAGCGGCCCCGCGATGTTCTCTACCTCAACATCCCTCGATTTTTTTACTCTGTATTTTTGAGAATTGGGGGACTTCACCTCCTCAAGTTCGGCAGCGTTGTTCATATCGTCCACCGCGGCCGGAGAGAGAGCATTCACACTGTCCCGAAATGTAACAAAAATGTTTTTTTCGGCCAGGATTTTCAAAAGTTTTGTATTGTTCTGAAGTTCGGGTCACCCGCGATCACGTCATCAGTATTCTACTGTAAGCGCTTACGGATCATCACCTGACCCTGCTCTCTGTGTGTGAATATGGGCGATAGTGTAATGAGTTGGCAAGAGGTCCACTGGGTTCGTATCTTCCACTGCCTTGTAAGCTTAGTGGTGAGCGGAGGATACCCTAAGATACTGCAGAAGCACCAACTTCGTTCAGGTGCCCACTATCAGCATTTCCCAAACTTGGGAACTCTGGAAATTATACGTTAACCGCTCGGTTCAACCGGAGAGGCGCGCTTGTCTAGATTAACCCAGTTTTCACTGAAAGCGAGGTGGGCATTCCCCCAGTGTTTTACGGTAGGGTGAAGTACAAAGTTTTGGCAAAGTGCAGAAATAGAAATGCCACCCTGCATTTCTTTTTTTTTTTTTTTTAATTACTGTTTTGCCAGCCTTTATATGATCTATTATGAAGAATGGTGCTAAGTGCTAATAGTCTTTTTACAGAAATATCCAAGCACCAAGTAAAAGCTGGTCTAAAGAAAAAAAAATTAAAACAAATGCAGTTCGCACCTGCACTTGTCAATGTCTTGTTTTGGTTATTTACTTGGAATCTTTTATTCAGGTGGGGCAAGTATGTGTACCTACATTCCCAGCATTGTCCTTGTAGCCTGGCCAATCTGTCAAAAGGTCTACTCTGTGAAGCCATATACACAAAACAACCATATGTCAAAAAAAAAATATGCGTATGATGAAATTTAAGAAGAATTGCGTACTTCACAAACTTCTTAGCTAAGTGTAGCTTATGAAGGTTTTCATGAATCTGGCCACTGTGTTGCATGAGTAGTGTTTAACTTTTTCAACTGTCCAGGGCCTGACAAGCTAGGAGAGGTTATTAAAAAAATAAGAAGTTAATAAGCATGTCATGGCAGTAAGTAGTCTGGTGATCACTTACAGGCTTACATCGTAAGAAAAGATGTGGTTTGGGTTCGGTCAGTCTACATTCTGCGAATAATGGCATTGGTTAATGTTGCTAGATCAGCTCAGTCGCAGAACTACTCGTAGACGCCGCTTGCGCACACGGCACCCCTCTCTCCCCCAAGGATTCGGCTGTCGTCGTTCGAAGCGCCGGTTTCAGAGACTGCTGTTGCCTTAACTACAGCATCCTCCGTAGAATCAACATGTTTTGAAGTGCAGCGTCTAGATGGCGCTTCACCGCAGCCTCTCAACAGTTTTGAACCGCAGTCTCTCGGCGGCACTTCGAGTGATGGTGGTCGTTTTGAAAGGGAGAGGGAGCTCCGCTTCTCCGCACGAGTTCTGCAACAGCTTGAGTAGCGTTGGTGGTAGTCAAAACTGTCTGGGAGTAATGATGTTGGTCAGAGCTGATTACTGATTGGTTGGTTGGTCGGTCAATGTCTCTTCCGCAGCTGGACTACAAGGTGACGAGCAAGAAGCTCCAGGAGATCTTCCGGCTGGCCGGAAGAGTGATCAATGTGGACCTGCGGACGGACAAGGACGGCAACAGCAAGGGTCACGGCATCGTCGAGTTCGATCACCCCATCGAGGCTGTGCAGGCCATCTGTATCCTCTTCCGCAGTCTTAGACCGGCGTGTTGAGCGTCCTATGCGGCGATGCATCAAAAGTGGTCCCCAACTGGCAACGAACGAAGTGGCGGGGGTGGCACGTCGTGCCGTTAGTTGTGGCGATTTGTCGCAGGGGTTCTGGCAAAATAGAGGAGCGAATCCCAGGGTCTCCTCCTTGGTTGCATTGTCCCAGTTTGTTGCCGTGGCTACGACCGTTGGTGTACTTGGGTTCCTTGACCGGTCTCTTCCCGCAGCCATGTTCAATGGGCAGAAACTCTACAGCCGCTCCATGAGCGTTCGCATGGACAAGTACAACGAGGACCTGGACGGAAGCTTGCCGTCGAAGCTGCCTAGTGAGTGCATCCACCTTGGGCCCCGTCTCGGAGCACCCTCGTAGGGCCCGGATGTTTCGCCGACACCTTCTTAAGCGGCTGCGTTTGACCGCATTCTGTCGGGATACGGCTGCGAGTTGCCGTTAGTTTGTCGTACTAGGTGCGCCGATCCATTGAAAGAGTAGCTTGGCACGTGGCATACGATGCACGAACGTTACCGTGATTCTCGCCTGCAACGCAATCCGGCATAGTCATACATTGTCTTATGCAACTGCGCGAATGGGCCTTTACCGTTTTTAGCTTTGGCGTCGCGACCGCGGTTTGCCTCGCTGCAACGTCGCGAGTTGCGTTCCTTACTGCTCGTCGTTGGCTGCGGACGAGTTTGATGGTGTGCGTGAAGAGCGCGACAGAAACCCTTAGCTTGACTGCAACTCCGTCGAACGGGATTTTGTTATGTTGCCCTTATTTCCATCGTTGAAGACGCGGTAAATCCCGCCGAAGCTCTTGTGGCGAGCTTTCGGCCTGTCGTGGAAGGCTGACCGGAACGGCGCTTTTGGTCGTGCACGTCGCCGATGCAACCGCATTCGGTGGTTCTATAGGAGACACCAGTGAATTCGACGCCGCGTACCGGGAATGGAAGAAGCGCAGGAGAGAAGGTCTTTTCGACTCTGTCGTCTGCTTTCGCTGCTTGGTTCTCGTAACCAGCATAGAAACAAACATTGTTTCCAGCAATTATTTTTATGCTTCCGCCATGTCATTGCTGTGCACTGACTAGAAGAACGTTTCTACCGTCGAAAAATCGCTTTGCTTTCATATGTAACATAGATTTTACGCTGCAGTGGAAGAAATTTATGGTGGTGAGTGTGCTGAACGATGAAAATGACCTCCCTTTGTTTGCCATTTTGCCTGACCAGCGCACCCCCTGTAGTTCGCCGGAGTCGCGAATAGCGTTCCAACAAGAACAGCCGGTGGAAAAAAAAAAGTCGACTTTGGGGGACATTCCACTAAGGGGAACTTTAAGGGACATTTAGTTTACCTGTTTGTTATAGAAACACATCAAGAAACTGCTAAAAAAAGATTACCGTACAAACGTGTTGCCCACGGCGTGGAATCATTTGACAAGATTAGTCCCCCCGTCCTAGAATTTTGCACTAGCAAACTGTCACGAGGAGCGTCACTTTCTTAAATTTGTGTCTTGCCCTCAAACATATCGTCGGTTGCCGTGGTCCGACTTTACTTAGGGACAGTTTTTGGTGTTTTCCGTAAGTTCTTTGCCCTTCGTGAGGAGTTTGGGGTCTGTGTTTTTGCAGATGGACTGCAGAGTGTTGGCAAAGGCCTCGGTGCTGGAGGCAACCCTCTGAACATGAGCGGTGAGTGTATGTCTGCACCTACTTTACCTCCTGCCTGTGTCATATAAACTCATTGTGTTAAGGTTTAGTGTAGTGAAACAGTGTTTAAAGTTGTTGTAAAGGAGATGGGAGCTTTTTGTTTTCTCCGAGATGAGATTTATTGTTCTAGTCGTTGTTTTACATTCATGCATTCGCTGCCATAGCACAAAAAAATGTCCTCGACACTGCCAACGCACTGAGAAGGGAATAGGAAAAGGGCCTTTCTTTGCAACCCCTTCCTCAGAAACTATGTGTAGCATCTCTATCTAAAACTGCTCTGCTGACTGACGGAGTGTAAGAACTCCGCGGCTCCTAGAACTTTTAGGAAAAACAATGTTGCATAATGTTTTTTTTTTCCATGCCCAGTTTTGAAGCATGACGTCTAACCATAACTGAGCATGACGTTCAACCACGCTTAGTGGAAGTGAAGACTGTTCTTTTTTAAAGTCTAGACATATTTTAAGCCTCGTCCCTTGCCAATATTTTTCTGTCGATTGCAGCAATCGGCTCTCCCAATAGCTTGGTGGGAAAGTAAAGGCTACAGGTTTGATTAGAGTGCAGAGAGGGTTTAAGCGTTATGTTTGGCTTGCTTGCCTTGTGCACCAACCCGACGTCGTGCCACCGTGGCGGGGCTGCTGTCGACACTGTGCGCACAAATCTGACTCCTGCGAGCGCGCAGTGCCCACACCTGGTGTGGGCAATAGATCGATCTCAGCAGCCAGTTTGACTATGCCACCACTGCTGCAACACACCGAGGGAACTTAAGTCTTTCAGCACGGGCGGCTACCTCGCTGGAGCTCTGTGCGCGTGTAAAGTGCGACACGTCACAAGCCCCCTCGTGCACCGCCGTCTGCGTGCGGTGAACTAAAGTTACGACGGCGTCACGCAGGCGCCGAGCGCTTAGCGAGATCGGTCTATTGGGGCACTGTTTGAAAACAGTGTACAGTGCAATCCGCTTGTAACGATGATGAGAAAATCCAAAAATTCAAATGTTATAACCGATTATTGTTGTATGTGGACTAGAAACTGATTGTTTCTAGTCTAGAGACTAGAAACTGCTCGATAAGCAGTAGGTTGTTATATGTGGCATCGTTATAAGTGGATTGCTCTGTATTGGCATGTACCTATACTCCGTTGCAACCTGAGAACGAAGGGCGAGGGTAAGATTGGCCGGGGAGGAGGAAGCGGACGGAACGCTGGAGAAGAGAGGGGAAACCTCCTTCTCTCTTTAGCGTTCCGTCCGCTTCCTCCTCCCCGGCCCGTCTTACCCTCGCCCTTCGTTCTTAGGTTGCAACGGACTATAGTTTGTGCATGGCATCGGAGTGGAGCTGTCTTCCTTTTGTGCTCCCCACAGCGGCGGCGATGGCATCGATGGGCCTGACCCCACCGGCGGCCGGCATGGGCCTGGGCAGTGGGGGCGCAAACCCGGTGGCAGCGTCCCTGGGCCTCGGCGGCATCGGCAGCGGCCTGGGGGGCAGCCTGGGCAGCGGCATGGGAGGGGGAGGTCTGGGCGGCGGCCTGGGGGGCTTGGGAGGGGGCATGGGGGGGCTGGGGGGCATGGGCTCGACGGGCATGGGGCTCTCGGAGCGCTCCCTGCTGGGCTCTGGGTCGGGGAGTCTGATGGGCGGCGGGGGCCTGGGCTCCCCCACGGGGCTCCTGGGGGGGCTCTCGGGGGGACTGGGCGGAGGGGGAGGGATGGGGGGCGGTTTGGGAGGGGGTCTGGGTGGGGGCTTAGGAGGAGGCCTGGGCGGGGGAGGGGGCAGCCTGGACTACGACCGACACCTGGGTGGAGGGGACAGCTACGGACGGTCGCCGCGGTCGTCCGACGCCATCATCGTGCAGAACGTGAGTGGCCGCCTTGCTTCGTTCCTTTTTTGCCCATTTGCGTTCTGGTTCCTCGCTTTGTTTCGTTTTTGTTGGTCCTCGAAAGCATTCCTCGCATGTCTATTTGGGAGAGGTGTTGGGGAGATAGATTTGGGAGGTGTTGCGTGGACGCACTTAATGGGTACTGTTGGCGCTTTTTCTACAGTTGGTGGCTGGTTAAGGGCACAGTAAGAGGCTCTGCCTCAATCGTCAGCTTTCTATCTCTGATTACGCTTCTGCGCGTGCGCAGCCAAAGCCTGACGGAAGCCAACAAGCACATGCTATACGTGGAGCTTCCACTTCATTCTTAACGTGTCAATTATACTACTGTTTGTGCAATGGGGCTAAAATGTAAAGCTGGAATAGCGTGGCAGGATGTTTGTTTCGCCATACAAAAACCTGGATCGCGTACTAATGATACCAGGCAGGCGACATCTTTTTGTGTTACTGCGTCCTTGCATATTTTTTTGCATTTGCCGTAACTGATACTTCTCTGCTAGGTATGCGGGCCATTCACATCTCACTGAGATGGTAATTGTCTGCACACGTAGTAGAGAAAGCACACTTGCATTCATTGTGTACTTCTACACTAGTACAACCAAAGAACTTGTCAGCCAGTTCTTTTTTTTTTTTTTTTTTTTTGAGAAGATGCTTCAGAAACTCGTAAGTCAGTCATTCCTGCTCTGAGCCTGCTGTACAGTTCATGTTGCGTGCCACATGTGACCAGTGTAGTTTCAGCAAGTGTGGACCAAACTAAGAAGTCTGTTTTCAAAAATGTGTATACCGTAACTGACTTTCTTTCTCGAGAAGCCAATTTTCACAAAATTTGCAATCCGAAAGCATTGCAAAGAATTGATTGTGCAAATGCATCACTCTAGGGTGACAAATGCATAACATACCGCTTCCATTTGCAATAATGTGTGCCCTCAAAATGTTCCGGCGAGCCACATTTCGCACAGTTCTCAACATATGATGTCCACAAAAATAAAGTTTGCAGTTGAAGTGAAACGTGGAAAACAACTCTTAGCTTTTTTTTTTTTTTTTTTTTTTTTTAACTTCATTTTTATTATTTGGGAGGAACTTGGAAGCCATACTTATTTCATCACTAAGTGACGCTAAATATTTTGCGAGTTACCATTGTTTTTCTTAAGTACTTTCTCCGTTATTTTGTTTAGATATGTATCAAACATGGTGACAAGCTGAAAATCACAACTAGTAATCGTGGTTACATGTATCCTGGCTAGACAAGGCCCATTTTTCCACCAATTTCCTCACAAATGTTAGCGCACTGTTGAACTGTGTCCGCGACACCCACGTAAATAAAAAAAAAAGATGTAGCAAAATTTTTTAGACAAATTTCTACAAAAATTGGCTTGTCTGAGAAAATGAACCGGTATCGAGATAAGGGAAGACAGCACACCACTCCAACATACCGCTTTCGATGGACCTATGAGGGCAGTCTGGGAGGTTGTTCCCTGCCTCGTTTTCCGGTTATCTTTTCTATTCGCTCGGTGACCCTGATCTAGTTGGATTGGATGCCGGGCGTCCTTGCGGGACCAAAATATTGTCCCACTCCGATTAGGACGTAAACAACTGACTTTTGTTGGGAGCAACGTGGAGACAGAGACAGTTACAGATGTACCCGAACAATGCACGTCTTTGAATCGGTGCCACGAAGGGACCAACTCGATGAAGCAAAATCAGTATCCACTGGCCAGATAGATGTGGAAGAAACCGGCATGTTTTGGGATTCTCACCGGCGTGGATAAAACCGATTTAATTTTTAACCTTCATCTTCGCGAGGCACTTAGTTCGGCGGTTTCGTGCAGCTGACGTGTCCGTCATCTCATCTTTGGCACGCTGTGCGGGAGTGATCTCCGTAATCTATGTTATACTTCGCTTCACCTGACATCTAAGCGAAGTCAATGCTACGGATTGTTGGGGCCGATTAAACGGCATCGAAAGTGCAATATCGCGGCATTCGTCGTCTTTCTCTTAGTGCGCAACCGTTGACTAAACCAGTTGGGCCTGGTCTATGTCCCCGTTACTTGGGCACTTAAGTATGGTCGAAAGGTGTAGTCTGCAAACTGAGGAAAGCGCCTAAGCAGTACGCAGGCTGCTTTGGAGCAGACGACGTGGGAGCACCGGAGTGGAGAAATTGCTTTTGGGACAAGTGTTGGAGTGGGATTTCTCAGATCGCGCGGGTTAGCTACCGTATTTACTCGCATATTGAAGGCACTTTTTTCCCGAAAAATTTACGCATATAGGGGGGTGCATTCGTTACGCAGGGTAGAATTTTTACGTTTTCACACTTAGTGCAAATGTCATATTAGGTGCCAATATGACACGGCAAGTTACTGTGGCACGTCTTCACTGTTGGAGGCTGGTCAGGGGCGTGCCACAGTAACCGTGCTTTATAAATTGCGAACCTTAGGGGGTGCTTTCGGTTTGCGTTTTGCCGAAGGAAAGGCGCCCCACAGAGCTCACTCGGCACGGAGAGCAATGCGACTGTTCTTAGACCTAACCACTTTCACAATATCACTGTCCGAAAGCAGACCACAGACTGCGGCGTGTTTGGGGCCGAGAGATTCCTCGACCTAAGCTTTGTCAAGTGTGCGCGCCGCTCTGTTTCACGGTTGATCACTTCCACATCTACGCACTTGCAGCCATTACGAGAGCGGCTTGGCTTGGCCTGACCGCTTGGCGGCAAAAGAAAATTGGCTTGGTGAGCTTGGTGGCTAGCTAAGTTGGACGCAATTCGAGAGTCGCGGACAGGGTGTAAGATAGACAGATGGGGAAATGGCCCATAGAAGCCTACCGCAGCGCCGTGACCGGATTGTGTACTCGTCTGCTTGCGGGTACTCCCGGTTTGCGACAGATGGCGCTGCGGCGAGAGGAAAAAAAGTCGAAATCGGATTTGCGTGGAACTTTATGGGAGAGTGCGCAAAATGAACCGAGAGCACGACAGTCCTCCATTGAAAATCCATGAGAAACTATCTCCGTCAGTTTAGCCGGTCGCCACCGGTCGCCTACCCGGAGTGAGAGTTTGCGGTGCTCCACATAGGTGGCGCCACAGAAAAAGAGAAAACCGAGGGGGACACAATCCGGTCGCTTATTTGGCTCTTGTTTCCCCACCTGGTCGCGGAGCTGGAAATTTAAGGAGCGTTCATTACGTGAGGGAAAAAAAAAAAAAAAGCCTAAATATTGGTATTCATTGGGGGGCGGGGGGGGGATGCATTCATTATGCGAGTAAATAAGGTATTTACGGATTGCTTTAGTGTGTCAGAAAAATTGTTTGGACGTGCAGACGATGATGCTGACATTATTTTGAAAGTCGACAACATTAGGTGGACGAATTAAGCCTCAAAACAAGATCAAGTTTGCGACCACCAATGTATGCAAAAATTCAGTCTTTTTTTTTTTTGGTGTTGTCAGATTTTAAACATTTGTTTTTTGCATGTTTACTGGGGGGGGAATTAGTTGTTGACAATAAAAAAAAAAAGTTGATCGAAAATATAAGTAACCGAAGATGTAACCTTTTCGATATCATTCATTTTTACCGCTTTTTGATTTTTAAAACCCACGTCCCTTCTTAACAGGTCAAAACAACATTCTAAACTCTGGTAGCCCATTTTGCATTTGTAAACAAGCTGCTCTCTTTCTGGTTCTTTCGTTACGCAGCGCTACAGACCCCTGATGGGTTCAGACAAGCGAGGGTCATATAGATACTGACGGCAGTCTGGCGGAGAGTAAAGTGCACGAAAGGGCCAGCCAATCGGTTGCAAGGAGGCACTGCGACCGGGGCAAGAGAGCAATCAAGGCATCGTCGTCGACAGAACGAAATAAACGGTTGCACTGAACCAAAGTTGTCCGCCGGGAAAAGGGGTCTTCTTTTCACGGTCGGACGGTCTTCGTTTCTGATTTCCTCTGCATTCTCGCTGCGAGCATACTAGCTCGAGTGCTCTGTCCGGAGCATGTTGAGATCCTGCTGTTCGTTGACGGGCAGTTGGTCGAAGAGGACAGTTCATCCAACGGACAGCTGGTCGAAAGTGAGCATTGTTCTTTCAACTTGCGTTTCTCGTGCATTTGAAACAAGTGGGCCGTAACGGGTCGTTCGTTTAATTTCAAGTTAAGCGTGCTTGGGTCAACAGCTCCCTCAAAGTTCCACAGAAGACGGCACGTAAGAATCTCCGTGCGCGTGTTGCAGTCATTACTCAGGGTGACCCAGGGGTCGTCCAAGCGAAGAGTAGGGGCTTTGGCACGACGAAATGCATGCTGCAGTAGAACCCGGTTGATACCTTCTCGGTTGATGCGTTCCCCCTGGCTGCTCCTTTCACAAACACCGGTCCCGTCGAACTCCCGCAGGAACATCTGCATTGGCTCTCCGTTTGTCGCGTTAGTTTTTTGTGGTTCTCAAGTCTAAGAACTGCCGTCCAACGCAGTCGGCACGAAGCGTCAATTTGCCTGGCTGCCCTCTTTTTCTGCTCCTCACCCACTTTTTCCCCTTTTTCGCTCTCTGCGCTCTACTACTTGTCTCAACGGGCATAACCCTTGCCAGACGAAAGGCATTCAGGTCCACCCACTTTTTCCCCTCTTTGCCTCTCTGCACTCTACTCTTGTCTCAACGGGCGTAACCCTTGCCAGACGAAAGGCATTCAGGTCTTGCCACTCACCAGTTCATCTTTTCATCTCTTTCTCTGACACATGCATGTGCAATCTTTTCTCGTTTGCCCTTGTTCCGCTTGTTTCGAGTTGGAAGTTTGTTGTCCCAGATCTGGCCTGTTTTAGTCGTTGTCCCCCGAAAAGACTTGTCAGCAGGGTTCTACTGTACCTGGCCCGGTGGGTCAGGTATTGGCCGATTAAAGGTGTATGAATATCCGTCCATTCCCCTATTACATTGCAATGCAATCTCTTAAGCTGCTGGGGTGCTACTTCAGTCGCTGTTCAACTGACCTTCAGTGTACTCCGAGAGTGGGGAGCTT